CTGGAAGATAGTCTCTTATTATGTCTTATTTGCACTGCAGCATTGTTTAGGACTGCTCTTGTCCATAGGCATCCCATAAATTGGCACAGTCCTTGTATCAGCATCATGACCCACCCATTCACAGGTTTAGGGGTGATGGGAGAGAGCAGCTGAAAGGAGGAACTTGCAGAGGACCTTTAGATATCCTGGGCACTGTGGTGTGGCTCTCCTCACATAGAAACCTTAGCAGCCCTATGGCAGTCTAAAATTCTCCTCTTGGGGAGAATTACCTACCTAGAGGTAGGTAAGCCAACACTGTAACTTCTCTAAATCTCTAGAAAAATAGTAAGTAGCACTAGGCAGGTCACTGGACTGAGAACATAAATCTTAGAGAGTTCTCATTGTTTTAAAAATTCCAACTATTTGAAATGTTAAATTTTCTTTCAAATTGGCCAGATATGTGAATAGGTCTATCTTTCTCCTGTACCCCATACTGCTTAAGGTAATTAACTAGATTATAGATGATCAATAGTTTAAGTCTAATCACCATGTGATTGTTCTTAAGTTGTGCAATATTTCCAGGGGAAAGCACTTATTTTGACAAAAACTTGTTTTCTTTCCTCTTCCCTTTTTTAAATTAAAGAAGATTGATGATGTTTTTATCTCCATACACACACGTTCTTCACCTGAATGGTGTTTTATTCTGTTGTGGTTACTGGTATTTCTTTAAAACTTGCAGCAATACCATGGGACTTTGGGTTACATTACACATCTACAAAAACATGAGCAAGTACAGAAAATGATCCTTAAACCCTCTGCATTTCATGCCTGTGCATAGAGAAAGCAACAGAGTTATGACCTAAGGTTTTTCACATAACCTTTTTCTCAGGTTGGGCTTAGGAGACTTTTACTGGTCCTCTGTGCACAGATGAAATTCTTCTAATGTAAGCAAAGAGAGTGTAAGCATGACTGAACAAGGTGTGAAGTGGTCATCTTCTGCCCTTCAGGCAGCATTCCCCACCCTTAGCTGTAGGATGATGTGCTATTGCTTTTAAAACGTGTCCTTTTAACGCCGATGGTGCTCTCCTTCATACCAGTCTGAAGTGATTCTGTTGGCTCTGGTGGAATTATTCCAGATTTC